TTGGATTAAAATCTAGACCCATCTTTCTTTAAAGTTTATACATTTAAGCATACCATTACATACTGTTGTAGGAGAGTCTCTAATTTTGAACTTCTTGAGCAATGTACCAGATATTAGACTCCCTGATATATGTAGTTAAGCCTTTTTATATGTATGTTTGGAAAATATTGCCAATCCTCATAATTTATGGTTCAATCTCCCTAACTTCTACAGATCTAACGCTGACCTCTTACTCACTCATATATTATACTCCTGACTGATCTTCCCATTGTTTATGCTTGGGTGGTTCATTTTCCCCAAAACTTATGTATGAATGTTTGTGACAGCTTTATTACTAATTATCAAAATATGGAAACAGCCGAAATGTCATTTGTTGGTGAATGGTTAAACAGATTGTGGGACATCCATACAATAAAAAGGAATGGACAGGAGATACATTAACAGTGTGATTGACTGTCATAAGAAGTATACTAAGTGAAAGAAACCAGACACAAAAAAGTATGCATGATATGATTCCATTCATATGACATTCTGGAAAACGCAAAACTATAGAGATGGGAATCAGCTAAGTGACTCACTGTCAGCTGGAGATAGGGAAAGAGGATTGATGGCAAAGGGGAATGAAAGAATATTTTGGGGCGAGGGAAATGTTCTATATATTGTTTGTGTCGATGGTTACATGATTATATTCATTTCTGGTATGTCAATCAGACTTCAGTAAAAAAGAAAATAACTAAATAATGTGTGTTTCAGGGTGGTTATGGGAATTAAGGAAGACCACTCCTTCTCCACTTACTTCTTTTGTTTGGTTCTTCATTATTCTCTTGTTTTTCTATATCTCTCATAAATTCGAAGTCCATGTTGAACTACAATTTCTTATCTCAGGACTGATATACTACAGGAAATTTATATGTCGTTGTCTGAGATGTCTGAGTTTAAATTTTAAATTGAGTCATCGACAGTATTTTTATAGTTCTAGATGTTCTAATTAGTAATGAGTAGCTCAGCTGAAATTTACAATCTCTGTAAAATATACCAAATACTCCTGCTTCACCTGTGTACCTGATCTGTGTCCTGTGACAGTAGGAGTGCACAGTATGGCTGGGATGGTTTATAAAGTAGCCTTGAATGCTGCCTGGGCAAGAGTTCCCCCCTTCTCTGCCAATCATTTTTCGCTAGTGGTTCTCAAACTAGGTTGAACATCCAGATCTCCTGGAAGAATAGTTAATAATATACGAATTTCTGAGCCCCACTCCCAGAGTTACTGATTTGTAGGTCTGGGTGGGGCCCAAGATTTTGTATTTCTAACATCCAGGTGCTCCTGATGCTTTTATTTGAGTGTATTTTCTTTAAAAACCACACATTTATGTTTACTCAGGTGTTGGAATATCAAAACTCCCTCATATAGCAGTTGAAACTGTTTCATCATTTCATAACTACTCTAGCATTGTACAATATTCGTTCATTCACAAAGTGATTCCTGAAAGACATAGAATGGTGTTGGCAAGAGAAAAAGGGGTAAAAATGTTATGTCTGCTAGCTGCCATCTTCCCTTCCCTTTAGCCTCAAGTGGCATCATGCTACATCATAATTATTGGATCTATGTAGCAATAGGCTTATTTGGGGCTCCCATTTTCTCTAAAATTTTCTATGACTTCTACTAGGCTTTAAATATCCTTCTGTTAAGCACTTTTCACTCCCTATTTTGTAATAAGTAAGTCCAGCCTCCTCACCCTTTAAGTTTCATGATTCTGTCCCTTTTTTTTCTCTCCCAAAGCAATAGTAATTTTCAGTGAGCGACACCGAAGTACCACACACCACACAATTTGAAGCAGTCTGGGATGTGTGAGTGACTGATTTCAAGTTAGAAAATACAAATCATGCTCTTACATTAAATGCTTCCCTAAACCAAGAAAGAAATAGCATTAATAATTGTAGTAGTGTTAGTTGTAAAGAGAATATGAGTCACATTTAGAACTTAAACAATTTGTAAGTCCTAAATTCAAGGAAATCATGGATCATTTTATCTTTCCAAATGCCATAGTAAATATTGAGGCCCACATATATAAATTTGTTCCAGATTCCTATTATTTTAAAGTTGCCATAAAGTATATCATGCTGTAATGATATCTGCTGATTTTTCTCTGTGATAGATTAAGTACAGTATATTATTCTTCAAGCTAATGTCCTTTTATCCTTTTACCACCACCCCACTGATTATCAAGAGTCTTTAGAGAAAATAGCTCATTGCCTGGGATGATTACATGCCTCAATTGAGTAGTAGTTTGCTGCCAATTATCATTACAATGCCATGTTGATTTTTCTCATTTCCACAATGGAAATTAAAGCAGAATTTGTTTAAAATGAGTTTCTGTATATCTTGTGAATCTGATTGGTTCTGAATATTTGAGCTGTTTTTTAAATCTATTTTCTTTAGTGGTCTGATGTCTTTTACTGATACACTCATAAATATAAGTGTGTATATGTAAGTATATACACACACACACACAAACACACACACATATATATATGTTGTTGTTGTTGTTATTTGCTGTCGAGTCAGCCCTGACTCATAGCGACCCCTCCTTGGGTTTCCGAGGCAGTATCACTACGGAAGTAGGATTGCCCAACCTTCCTTCCGAGGAGTGGCTGGTGGGTTTGAACCGCCAGCCTTCTGGTTAGCAGTCAAGTGCCTTAGGCACTATGCCACTATGCTACCAGAGCTTTTATATATATATATATATTATTTATAAGCTTTTCCTTTGGCAGATATGAAGTCACTGATTTAAAACTGTGGACTGGATATACAGTTGTGGCTTATCTATTTAGAGTATAATTTTAATTATTACTCCACTGGAGTTTGCTATAAATTTATATTTATGAAGTTCTTGGGCAATAAGAGACTCATTGCGTAAATCCACATTATTATTATCAGTGTTGCTGCTAATTTTCTTAACCATACAAACCAGCAAATGTAATTCAATTAAAATTAGCAAATACTTATTTATTGCTGAGTTTATGTATATTACTCTGCTAAGCACTGAGAGAGATAGAAAGATGAATATTATAACTGCTTTCCTCTGAAGTATATTATATAATCCAGAAAGATGGATAAGTCATGTATGGCAAGAATCAGAATATCAAGTGTATGAAGATAAATAAAGATGCATGGGAAGTTCAAAAGATAGAGAAGTCACAATTGGTTGGAGGCTTTATAGGGGGAGCTTTAATGGAAGAGTTGACAGTCACTTTGCACCTTGAAGGGTTTGGAGAAATGGAATTGGCTGTTGCCTTCTGAGAAGAAAAAATAAAG